GCCCGAGCGCTGACACTACATGACTTTGAGCAAAGGCCCCCCCTTTTAGCAGGGTTTTTCTGGCTGCTTTTAGTGCGTTTGTGCGTGTCAGAGCAACATCGTTCTCCCACGCCGGCTCCCGCGGCGCGCTCTCCTCCTGGCGTTACGTAATTTTTACTCCTTGTGCACTTACTCCTTACGTGTTGTTGGCTCCAAGGCAGGGAGGAAAATAACTCACTCGCAAAAAAGCGCAGGGATTTCTCCCCTGCCCTCCCTCCCCAGGTATAATTGCTAATTGGGGCCACTAAACAGCAGCTGGAACAATAAGAACGGGGCTTTAGAAACATGCTGGTCATTTTTAAGGGCTCTTCCCCGACGTCAGGCAGGACTTGTCCTCTGAGGTGCTCCCAGGCCCACCAGGATCGCCCGCTTGGAAGGGTGAATTTAAAAAACTCTGCCTTTCTCTGTAAAATAGATCCCTTGGAAATAAATAAGGGCTCCTTCACATCTTGGCAAACTAGGGAAAAATGCTTGTGGAGATGAATTTCAACTCATTCAAAATCCTCCTCCGTTTCACTAGTTGGTGCTCTTGCTTCCAATTATTTTTTTTTTTTTCCCTGGACTTTTACATTTGTTTTGGAATGCAAAAAGCACCTCACTCCAGCAGCTAAGTACTGTGAGAGGCGCAAGGATGCTGGATTAGCCTCTCTCAGCATCCTGCCGTTGGAGAGGGAGCCTGCATGCAAATGCTGGTCTCCGAATCCATGCTTGTGAATATTGGCATATGCTTTTTTGAGTTTAAAAATCTATAATAATTTGCGATGTAACAAACATGGACCATAGAAGCACTAAAAGTTGATGCAAGCTGCCTCGCTAGGTGCCCATAGAAATGCTTATACCAGTACTTATACGCACACATTGGTGCATTTTTAATATCCACGGCAAAAGCATCATCTAGAGCACTGGAGGGCTCTATCTGTAGTGGCACAAAGTTATCTTTATAATCTGTGCAGCTGACAGATTCATAAAAAATAAACTTTCCATCAAAGTTCTGGTTTTTCAAAACTATTTCCCATCGCGGTGCTGTTTTCTCTAACATGAAGCAGATAAATACACAGAGCAAGGAATTATTTTGGAACAACGTGCTTCCTGCTAAACGACAGCAGTTTTTTTGCCAGCATGACCCGTAAAGAAAGTCATCCAGGGCAATCCAGATACAGGGAAGTGTCTGCGGGAAACTGTACAAAAAATAGTCATGGAGCAGCTACTTTTCTCTGATGAATATTCTCCCCCTCTCCGTGGCCACGCTGTAGGCAGGTCCATAACCACTGGTGTCTTGGAGAACAATTTGCAGTTTTGTGCCTCTTCGGTGATCCCACAAAAATGCCAGCCGAAGGTGTGCGGAAAACACTGCCGTCAAAGCCCACACTTCCAAAATCCCTTTTATTTTTTGTCTTTTTTTCCTACGGGGCTGCTGCTTGGCCAAAGCTTTTAAGTTTTCTTTTCCTTTGAAGCCACTCTTGGGCTCTGGAACCTGCCGGGTGCAGCCGTTCTGCACGACCGCAGCAGCGAAGCTGCTTCCTCAGAGCAGCCCCTTTGGCCCCGGCCGTGGGCTGCCTCGTGCCCCCAAGTATCCCCCGCTGCCCTAGGCTGGGGAAATAGAAATAGTGCTCTGCAGAGGGCCAAGAAGTTTCCTTTTCTTGCCTCTTGCAGGCAATTCGTGCAAATAAACGGGCTGCCGTTTCGTAGGCAGAAGTGGGAGTCCTCGCCAGAGCAGGCGTTGGATGCAAACGCAGAGGAGACACTGCAAGGAGGCATTAAAAACACAGGCAAGAAATTAATCCGCCGTTCCCTGTGTTGACTCGTTGTCTGTTTTAAAAAAAAATGCCAGGACATTACAGGATAAACATACTAAAAATAAATAAATATAAAAAAAACCCTGCAGTGAGTTTTTTTTTTGAAGCTAATTGCTCTAACAAGGGCTGAAGAAGGGTGAAAAGTATTAAATTGCATTGAAAAGAATGAAGACTCATCTCCCCAAATGTGGTCGTGTTTTGAAGCTGCTCAAGAAAAGCAGTAATGTTGGAAATAGCAGGGAATGTCTGCCCGGCTTTTTTCAGGGAAAATAGATCCAGGTTCCCCTGGATCTGGGAACAGTGGTTCTTGGATATTGGGTCGAGCTACACACCAGCTCCAAAGCACTTACATATAATGTACAAAAGGATACAACTCACTGCCTACAATGAGAGCTATATTATTAAGTCTTATCTATCTTGCAATGGTAATTTTCATTAATGCGTTATATTAAAGCAATATCACAGCCTTATCATCTCACTGTAAATTATTGGCTCTTTTTATTCAGAGCTCTATGTGTTCATTCAAAATACCATTTTAAACTTTTTTTTCTTTTTTTTTTTTTGTCAAATTAGCCTAGTAAATTATGGAAAGAGTGTCTAAAACCCCTCCACTTGCAGATTTGGAAGCGATGGGTTTCACTGTAAAAAAAAAAAAAAAAAAGGAAAGAGTGTCTRAAACCCCTCCACTTGCAGATTTGGAAGCGATGGGTTTCACTGTAAAAMAAAAAAAAAAAAAAAAAAAAAAAGGAAGAAAAAAAAGTGCATTTTAATCTTTTCATATCTGTGCTTTTAATTCTGTTTTAAAAGCCTAGTGGTTTATTTCCTGTGGCCCATCACAGACTTATTAATGTTGCGGGAGTCAAATCCTGTAGTGCTGTGGTAGAACAGCACGGGCGCAGGCTCCTCAGAGCTGACAAACACCATATGAATGGAAGTCATGCATATATGAAGAAGGAAAAAAAACCCCAAAAGTCACATTTAGTCCTCTTTTTTTAAAAAAAAAAAAAAACTTCTTAGACCTTTTCACGTGGTTGCTGTACACGGATGTTCCTTGCTTGACTAAAACGCGGGCGACTTCAATGAAGTCTTTTAGAGCGATCAAGCCGTTTGAGGTGAACAAGCCCCGATGCCTCTTCTGTCATGTGGTCTTTGATCACGCCAAAAGTCTCAGCTCGGCAGCAGGCAGGACTTGCTGAGCCTCGCTCACCTCCAGGTCCCCTTCTCGCAGGCCTAAAAGAATCACCAAGTTATTTTTCGGGGATGCCACCTCTTTTTTCCTCGCTGCGTGGGAGGCGCGGAGGCAGATTGCCAGTCGCCTCGACGTATTTGGTGATTCAATTCCCTGCTCCTCTGCTTTTCACTGCTGGTGAAACTTGTTTTCTTGAAGCTTTTTCCCAGGTTTTAGGTGTTTTTACCCGCGGTTCCCCTGGCTCCATGGCAGGTCGGTGGCGCTTCCTTCCGCGCTAAACGGTGCTGTGCGAGAGGAGCATTGAGGCCAGCAAGAAACCAGAAACCAGCCCGGGATTGTGCTAATGTATAGACTAGTGCCAGATGATTTATAAGTGGAAAATAATGTAATCCCGCATCTTTTATGAGTGGTGAAAGCTCCTGTATAAATAACACCAGGACTTCTACTATGTCCTTTTTCTTTATGCGCTCCCAGCTATCAAAATATGTTGTTTGGCTAAAATCTCCCAGCCTTGGTTTTATCTTAAAAGGGACTTCGCTCGCGTGTTCCTTTATGTAGCTGTTTGGAAAGTTGGAATATAATTTCGGCACCCAATGTTGAGTTATAGAAGAGTGAAACAAAACACTTTTCTTCGATGGCAAAGAAATCTAGAAGCCTCTTTCTGTGCAATTATCACTCGGACTATTGTGCTTTTGCAAACCGATACTTTCTAGGAGGCTAGTTCTCAGTGAGAACTACTCTCCTGGAGAGTTTAACAAAGCCAGGAGCTACATCAATTAAAAGCAACTAAAATGTCTGTTATGTGTATGGGCAAGAATATTAAACTGCCATTAAGCCATTTACCGTTTACCTTAGTACCAGCTGCTGGGGGAGGGAAAATAAAGGCTCTGCATTGGTTATGAAGCAGGGATTTATGCTGCCACGGTGCTCGGGACTTACATATTTTTACACATTTTTCTCTCCATGCAACCAGGCAAGGGAACTACATGTATGGGGAGAGATTAGCGGTTTAGTCCCCTGCCCTGCAATAAGATCTGGGCGCCTAGACCTCACCGAACGTTACAAGGGGTTGAAAGAGCCAAAATCGGTGGCTTTTCTGAAAGAATCAGCCCGTGACAGTCCTTGCTTTAAGACACTATGATTAAAAATGGATTTGCACTGTAGCGAGATGGGGTTGTGCTGAGAACGGGGAGATGCTGACTGAGGCTCTAACGTGAGCCGCATTGGTGAGGGACGGCGCCTGGGCACGTTTACCGGCGCCCCTGGGTTCTTCTTGAGGTAAAATAGGCCTAGATGGGTTCTCAAAGAGCCAGTTTCGATAAATAAGGGTGGCAAGTTTGGAAAAATGAGGACGACTCGGCCAGGACCGTCGCGTCGAGGCCTGGGGTGCCCCCTCGCCCCGCTCGCTCGGAGCCGTTTCTCAAAAACTCTCCGTTTTTGTGGTGTGATAATTATGTTAGAGACTCCAGGACCACGCAGCTCCTAGTGGGAGAACTTTTCAGTTAAAAGGAGCAGGACTTGCTCCTATTTTGAACATTTTGCAGGAATGTCACCTCACCTGGGGCTGCACGAGTCATATTCACTCCATTTAAGAGAAGAGACGGACCCTGAGTTATTTAACACGCTTGAGGACAGGAGCTGAGGGCAGATTTTCTACTGTATTTTTGCATATATATATGCTTTTTAATTCTTCTTGCCCAGTTTCAAACTCTAGGAAAATGCCTGAACTCGTGGCCTTCCTTTATCTCACACTGCAACATGTTTCTGATTTATCAGGCAAAAGCATTTTAACCTGCTGGGTGTTTTCCCCTTAATGCTTTCATTGATGGAAACGCTTTAAGAGGGGAAAAAAAAACACATATTTTTTCCAGTTAGCAAATTATATTTTTAGTTTTAAAAAAACGGGGGTGCTCTTCAGAGAAAGTTGCTGTTCAGAATATGAGTAAAAATGACTTGCAACTTTTCCTCCCTCAGGTGTCTGCGAAGAATTAGCTCCTCACGCAGGGGCAGAGAAGAGAACAGCTCCTCATTTTACACAGAGAAGTAAGATGACAACAGTATTTTATTTTCTTGTGTAATCAAGTATTGATTGCTTTCTTCTCTCACCGTCGGACTGCCTCCTGTATTTTTTACTTTACTCTTTAAACGTGCCCACATTCCTTCTTCTTTCATTTTAAGTGGCTTTATATTAAAATATTTTAAACTGAAATAGGCTTAATTTTTGCAAGAACATTAAGTTTAATAGGGATTTGGCTACTGCCCTCTTTTTTTGTGATTTTTTTTTTAGACTCCAATGTACTCCTTTAAATTGCGCTGCTTTTCACAACGTCTCTTTGTAGAAGAATTAGAGTATGTGAAAACTGAAGTTTCTACTCAAACAAAAAATGATAACTAATACAATCATGTCAAACCTGTTACTTTTTATTTTTTCATTACACATTTAACAGATAAATCATTTGTATGTTTTTCCGTTGAAAAGAGTTTAGAGTGCTGCTGAGTTTATATTTCTGCTCTTGAGATGATGGCGGGAAATTTTCCAAACATTTAGCCTTCTAAAGGTGAAATAACTTAATGGAATTTATGTAGTTTCCTTAAAACAAACCATTCCTTACAATTTCCATATCAAAGCACTACTGATCCCGGTATAAATGTTCACGGGACCTGCAAACATGTTTGCTGTAATAACTTAAATTTGAGTTTCCTTGATGAAGAAATGTCAAAAAGCATTAAAAGATCCCAGAGAGATCATATGCTTCTCATCCCTGTTTTTGATCTAAAATATTCATTAATCAGAGCAAAATATTTGTCTATAAAGCTCAATACTTTGCAATATTATTTTCTTACAATCAATATCAGCCTTTGAATATATTAATAATATAGCTACTGATAACATTCTTAATAAAAAATCTTGGTCTAAAAATAATACTTCTTTGCTTATTAGAAATATGTAAGTATATTCTGTGCTCAGCTCAGCTCAGGGTGCTGCTGTCTGCCCCGAATGATAAAGTGTGAGAATATGTGCTTCAGGCTCAGATATCCTGTGAAAATGTCATTTAAAGAGGCTTGAATTTCTGACCCGTGGTTTTAGAGTAACAGGAATAGCTCATTCAAAGCTGTAGAATGGCCCCATAAAATGTTTAGAGGAAAAGCAAGCTTTATTAATCGAAAAAAAAGGAAAATCTAAAAATATGTATGTCACCTTTATTGTCATTTGCGTAACCACTGCTGAATGTAAAATACTGAATTGTATTGTGGAAAAAAATATATAATGATTAAAAAACTATTAGTACGTATCATTTTTTTAAAGTTTATTTACAGATTTATTTTCTGATCTTCGCAAAGTTTCGTATTTAAACCCATCCCTCAGCCGACGTGAATTGTTGTATCTCCACAGAAGCCACTCGAGCAATGCTGATTTACAGCAGTGTAACACCTGGTTCCATAAATTTGTTACACCAGGATTTGCTGCCTGATTACGTGTTCCTGAAGGTGCTTCCCTGTTTTACACAGTGTTTTTTGCCGGGTCTCCTGACTCACCCTGTGGTTTTGCAGAATTCTTTGGAAAAAGTTGCAATTTGAGCATCTCGGTGCAGCCCTACTATTTAGCATGGAAATACCCTCAGTATTCAGGGAAGACTTGTCCCAAATCAGCCTCGCTTTTGCTGTACCTGCAAGTATGAGTTTTCAAAGCTTTGAGCTGTCTCTCTTCTTCATTCTGCAGCTGGGATTCCAAAACAGCAGCTTTTACTGGGTTTTGGTGGGTTTTGGTATCGAGATGGAGTGAGTTGCTCTCTCAGCCCCTGTGCAGGACAGGACGCCTGGACTTCAGCTGCCTTCAGCAGAATCACATTTCTGATCCAGGCTCAAATGTAAGACTAAATTAAATAGCTTGGATTCATCCCCTTATCTACCCATTGTGCAATCTGTTGATTTTGTGAGGGGGCAGAAAAGTCAGATTTGGTCCAAAGTATATCTAAAAAACATACATTGCAAGGTCACGTACGAGGAACTCAGCCACTCGGAGCCTAGACAGGCATTTTCAAGCCTAGCTAATTTGCAGAAAGTAGTAATCACCTTATTTTTAATCTCACATTTTTTTCCTGTGAAGGAAAAAAATCTTTTTCCTCTCTCCAGTTTTCTCTCTTTGTTGCTCAATGTGAGAGACTCATGAAAACAACAAAGAAAATTGATTATCGAGGAGCAGAGCAGAGTGCGAGGCACCCGGCGCTATCAATGGATCACAATAAACAAAGCAGGGTAGAAAGATGGAATCCATTTTTTGGGAAGAGGATCGGGGACTATAGGCCAAATATTCAGATCGTCTCAATATCACATTATTGAAGCAGATACTGAGAAGCAAACTTTAACTTTGCAAGGCCCTGTGTGAAGTAGTGTTCAGGAAGAAACAGAATCTAAGAAAGGATTCATGTGCTTTATTTTCTGTGAATTAGCAGATTAGGTAAATGATATGATGAGAAACAGGCTGCTTGGGATCCCCTCTGTCTGGATATTTGCATTGCTATCGTATATCTCAGTGCCTAGTGAAACACTATTGCTTCACAGCTAATAAAACGTAATCCACTGTACTAGCTGCACACAGACTGCTTGCCAGCCAGCGCTGAGATCCTCAGTCTTCCCCACCAGATGAGCATCTCAAAACCTGTGGAAAATAGGATGTGCCTTGACTAGAGACTCGGCTCTCCCTTATTTATCTCACGCTACTGCGATGAAATCAGCGAGTTCCAGCCATATATCCAAGGGCATAATTGAGCCTTTTATCAGTGCCGCAGAAACACCGAGGTTGTTTGTGGGAATGGAGGACCAGGTCCTTGCCCAGAGCAAGCGGCTTCAGTCGATTGACTTGAGCAGTAGAGCTGTTGCATCTAAATTCAGGAGCCTGGTGGGGCCCTGGTCTGCTCAAATTATACATTTGGTTTGGACCCATTTCTTTTGCTTCCCCTGCCAAATCTGCTGGGCAAAGAGGACATTTCTGGTGACAGATTTTGTTCCAGACGTGGTTTACTCAGAATGAGCTGAGATCCCTAAGTTCACTTCACTTAGGAATGGAAAGCGGATGCGGCGAGATCCTGACTGGAAAAATCAATGCTTTGTTTACCCAGATAAGCCCTAAAAACAAGGTAATTTCTACCAACTTGTATTTTCTATTCATATTTGTGTTGATGTTCTGACATTTGCTTGGACATGTGATAGCTTCATCAAAACACAGGTTTTGGAAAAGGCATTTTGCTGGTCCCTGTTTTGCTGGCACATTGAAGCATTTTTATGAGCAAAACCTTAGCTGGTGTGGCATCCCTAGTGCACATTAAGTTTATCAGAAGTGAGGGGAGCCAGATATATATATAATGAAATGCTATTAATGGGTCTTAGCCCAGGAGCTGGGAGGAAAACCTCGTAATTACAGCGAACGCAGCCATTTACGGCATACTTTGTTATGGAGGCTTAAGTAGGTAATTAGTATTACGGTTATGGAGTTGTGCGTTATCTTAAATTGTGTCAGGCTCTGAAAACTACCCTTACTTTTAATTCCAGCAGCCAGGACGAATGAGAAATTACCTTGCTGGATGGCAAGGGGCAGAGGTAGGAGCATTTGCACCATCTGAGGCGTGGAGATGGGCATGGGGGTAAGGGGAGAAATCCTCTCGATGCCGGAGCAGCCCACGCTGCTGCAGGACTGTTGATTTAAGAGCACAGCTGTGCTTAATGCAGCGGGGGTTAACATGAATCCCTCCACGGGAGCGTCTCGGGCAGCCTCAGTGAGGGAGAGGAGGAGAGAGACCAATTCACAAAGCTCATTTAAACCGATCGGAAGGCTTTGGAGAGCAAGGGCGTCCTCGTGCCTGCCCTATATGTATTTACCGAATTGGGCAGTTTAATGGCATTCAGCAATAAACCCGGTCGCCTTCAGGAGCGCTTGATAAAGGTTGTGGTAACTGCCTGCTCCCGTCTACTTTGGGGAATGTTAATAACCGGGTACCCAAGGACTCCTAGGTGTGTGCTGGGAAAGAGAGGGAGCTAAATGTCAGCTAATTAAGTGGAGCTGAGACCGTGAAGGATCCTGTGAGTTAAAAGTTAAATATTAATATCAGTTTCAAACTTTATGAAAGCTGGCTTAGTGGCAGAGAAGCAGAAGGGATATATATCCAGCATGTTCGTGACATTTTATATTCCTAGTTAACCTCGCAGACGCATTCTCAACCAGCTGAAGTTTTCTCAAAGCAAATTCTGGAAGATCCGCCAATAAGAAATTATAACAACCCTGGAGGTGACACGGACGTTAATGAAGGAAGAAGGAAAAGATTTCAATATGGCAATGTTTCTCAAACAGTAAAAATAAAAATCCTCCCTGTCATATTAAATGTGACACGAGTAAAGGTGAGAGGTGGGTTGGGTTGGTGCTCAGCTCGCCTGGCATGCACAGGGCTGTGTTTATCCGGATGGGCACGTTGATCCCTGCTGCTAATTCCCTTTATTGGGAGCAAACGCATGGAAGCTGCACTGAGTTGCCACTGCTCAGGCTGGTGGAAAGGGACAAGTACATCTGAAACAGGGTCATTTCCCCTTGAGCAGGACCAAGGGGAAGGATATAATTTTCAACATGACACTGATGCACATAAAGAGTAGAAAAATCACAGTTAAGCGCTACGCAGCATTCAGAATACATTGACCAAAGCACCTCGTGCTGATCTCTCCTGCTTGAATCTCATCTTGATCATTCTTTGTCATAGTCTGGGTCACAGAACTGGCCCTCAGCCCTGCTTGGGATCAGGATCAGGATCCCATGTGCTTGGCTGTGTATAAACAGCAGTTGATTTACACTGAGAGCTGCCTCCCGTCACCAAACACAAGGTGATATGGGAGTCTTGCTCCTTAATTTTCACAGGTGGAGAGGGCAGAGATTAAACAACTTGCCCACTCTTGGGCAAGTTAGACTCAGCTTCTTGTTAGGTCACATCTTACCTAAACAACCATCCTTGCTGGTCTCAGCAGAAATGACAAATCATTCAAGTCTATGTGCTTGGAACAGAGCAGAGATATTAAGTGCCCACTTGCTGATATCAAAAATAGAGACTTGCATTAACTTTCCTCATGAAACCACATCTTGCTGACCAAACTCGAGCATGAATAAGTTTCCACTATATGTGTTTCACTGAGTTAGGCTGAAGTTTCTTGCTGAGGTTTCTGCAGAGCTGTGCTGCTAAACCCAGTGCTGCGTGAGCTGGTTGCTTGGTGGCCTCGGTTGTCCCCCCAGACCACTGCATGTAGCTCTCTGTGCACGTGATGGTGGGTGCTCCATAGTGTTGCACTAACTCAACTGTAAAATATACTCCATTTTATCCAGCACAACAAGGCTCTGGGCTCTTCTGGAAGGAGAAAAGGAACCAGCATCATCCACAACCCGTGAAATTTATGACTGCTGCTACAACGTATGTGAAGATTTTCCCTGACACATTGAGATGGCCAAGTGAGCGGCAGGGAGAGGTGCTGATAGAGCTGCTCTTGGCAGGCCTGGGCAGCAGAGCTCTCTGTGAAAGGACCTGCTCAGCTTTGTTTTCTGTGCACAGGTTCGTCCTTGGCTTGCGCTGAATGTCGTGGTGCCCTTGAGCAGCGCCGGCCCCCGCTTGGCTCCGTCGATACAGATCCCCAAGGAGCAACATCGCGCTTATCCTGTTAGGCTCAGACAAAGCACCACCTAACAAAAGAAATGGGGTATGAGCAGATTTTATGTCTAAAGTGAAGCAGGCAGGGAGAGCTTCCAGGTGCTTTGTGCCTA